TAAGTTTTCCTATAGACAAACAATAGTTCAGCTGAATTAGTAAAGTGTGCCGTAAGCATTGTATACTTTTAAGAAATATCTATAGGGCAGTGGTTCTCAACCTGGGGGTCAAACAACCCTTTCACAGGGGTCGCCCAATTCTTAACAGTAGTAAAATGACAGTTATGAAGTAACAACGAAAGTAATTTTATGGCTGGGGGGGTCACCACAACATGAGGAACTATATTACAGGGTCGTGGCATTAGGATGGTTGAGAACCACTGCTATAGGGGATCAAATTAGTAATAGCAACCCAAAGTTTAGATAGAACACTTATACAGGGCACTGAACTTAGATTAATCCAAACCAAACCCACTGCCATTTAGTTGATGCCAATTCATAGTGACTCTATAGAAAGGAGTAGCACTACTCTACAGAACTTCTCAAGACTGCAAACTCTTCACAGGAGCAGGTGGTGGCATCTTTCCCAGGGACTGCCTGCTGCATCTGAACCACCACCATCCTGCATTCCAAAACTACAGCACGACTAAGGGCTCCTGAGTTTATGGAAACAGGAAAGAAACAATTAGGAAAAGGAGGGTAAAAAAGTAGCTAAACATACAATATAATCAAAGTCACTAAGTACTACCTATAAAAATAATTGAAGTGATGGTAGGGTATAATGTAAATGGCACCCTCGTAGCACAGTGGTTAAGTACCATATATACTCACTCGGGTATAAGCCGAGTTTTGCAGCACATTTTTAATGTAGTTTTTGTGGTTAAAATTAGGTGCCTCAGCTGATATTCAGGTCAGCTTATATTTGATTATACACGGTATTTGTTTGACAACCAAAAGGTCAGTGGTTCCAACCCACTAGCTGCTCTGCAAAAGAAAACTGTGGTAATCAGCTTCAGTTAGGATTACAACCTTGGAAACTCTACAGAGTAGTTCAATTTTATATGGTCATTATTAGAATCAAAATTGACTCAATGACAATGGGTTTTAAAATTCTTTTTAAAATTTGTATGTATTTCTCACTTTAGGAATTTTAGGAGCAATGCATGTTAATGAGTGCTCATTTATAGGATTAATTTACATAAGTTTTTTTCAAAGACAAAACAAACCTCACAGTCTTTATAACTTAATTTTAATACTACCAGTCATAGGCAATGACCCTGATTCCCATGTCCTCAAGCAAGAATTAAAATAGCCTTTTATGATTGTAAAAATACAAAACAAACACATCAAAAAGATACCAGTTATATTAAATCTTTCAGTAATATAGTACATTGAAAACCTATTCTTTCTGCCTTTTCAAAATTTAAACTTCAAGTGTAGGAGGAATCCAAAATTTTATACTGGGATTTTGCTGTAACGAGTGACGTGATAGGAATGGCTTAAGTTGGTGATTATGTTATAGGAATTGTGCTGCACCCATATCTGCTGTATGTAATATTTCCTACATACTTTAGGAAAATGTGATTTTCTCCCAAAAAAGGCAAAGCAGTCTATTTTTAATTGGATATCTAAAAGTTATACCGTTCAAATATTATTTTAATCATTTTATTAGGGGCTCTTATCACAATCCATACATACATCAATTGTATAAAGCACATTTGTACATTCATTGCCCTCAACATTCTCAAAACATTTGCTCTCCACCTAAACCCCTGGCATCACCTCATTTTTTCTCCTCCCTCCTCACTCCCCCCTCCCTCCCTCATGATGCCTTGATAATTTATAAATTATTATTTTGTCATATCTTACCCTGTCCGACGTCTCCTTTCACCCACTTTTCTGTTGTCCGTCCCCCAGGGAGGAGGTTATATGTAGATCCTTGTAATCAGTTCCCACTTTCCAACCCACTCTCCATCTATCCTCCCAGTATCACCACTCACACCACTGGTCCTGAAGGGATCATCCCCCCAGATTCCATTCAAATATTTCTAGTGAAATATTTATAGCACTAGCAAGCTCATTTCTTATCTATATAAAGATGAAACAAGTCTCCCATTAATGAGCTCATTAATGACACTAATGGGCTAAAAGAGGTTTATTTCTCTATTAGAGCAACCACACATGTGGAGAGAACTGCTCCACACAGGATTTACAAGGCTGTAACCTTTCAGCAACAGATTAGCCTATCTTCCAAGTCACCACTGTTGAGTTCAAACCGCCAACCTTTTGGCTAATCAACACTTAACTACATGTACCACTCAGGGAGTCCAACAAAATCGATAAAGCCAACAACACTTTTGTGATAGCCTCTACATTGGGCTTTCTGAAAAACAGTGTTATACAAGCTTAATTCTTATTCCTAGGCTTTTGTAATGATTGGAGAAACAAACCTAAGATAAGTAAATGGTATGTTGTTGATGGTTTTCAAGCGATGTTTCTGTCATGAAGATGTTTCAGATAACTGCCTTATAAGAGTCAAAAGTGCAGTTCCATTTTTCTTTATTCATTTTACATGTGGAGTTAAAAATCCTAATGCCAAAGGTAAAATCTTAAACCTCCAGGAAAGAAACCCACATGCTATTAAAAAAAAAACAGAACACTGAACTATCTGTATTAAGAACTAAATGAAACATAAGTATAAATGTAAAAGGGTAATACTAAACACGTAGGACATCAAAGATGAGGGTTGTGGGGAGAGGTTAATGCGAAGACAAAAGTAAAACAAGAGAGAAATATTAATCACCTGTATATCAAGTTTCTTTACCTTAGCTGGTTCACCATCCTATTTCCAATTCTATTAATAATTACACAGTGCTGGGCATAAGCAAGTGTGGTGAAGAAAGCTGATGGTGTCCGGGTATCTAAAGATATAGCGTCTGGGGTTCTTAAAGGCTTGAAGGTAAACAAGCAGCCACCTAGCACAGAAGCATCAAAGCCCACATGGAAGAAGCACACCAGCCTGTGTGATCACGAGGTGTTGAAGGGATCAGGTATCAAGCATCAAGGAACAAAAATCCATCATTGTGGATGGAGGGGAGTACAGAGAGGGGACCCAAAGGTCATTTGTGGACAACTGGACATCCCCTTACAGAAGGGTCTCAGGGAGGAGACAGCCAGTCAGGGGGCAGTGCAGCAACGATGAAACATACAACCTTCCTCTAGTTCTTAAATGTGTCTTCCTCCAACTATCATGATCCCAATTCTACCTTACAAATTCAGCTGGACTGGAGGATGTACACTGGTACAGATGGGAACTGGAAACACAAGGAATACAGGTCAGACGAACCCCTCAGATCCAGTGGTGAGAGTGGTGATACTGGGAGGGTGGGGGGAAGGTGGGGTAGAAAGGGGGAAACTCATTACAAGGATCTACAATTAACTTCTTCACTGGAGGTCAGTCAACAGAAACGTGGGTGAAGGGAGACGTTGGACAGTGTAAGATATGACAAAATAACGATTTGTAAATTATCAAGGGTTCATTAGGGAGGGGGAAACAGAGAGGGAGGGGAAAAATGAGCTGATGCCAGGGGCTCAAGTGGAAAGCAGATGTTTTGAGAATGATGATGGCAACAAATGTGCAAATGTGCTTGACACAACAGATGGATGTATGGGTAAGCATTGTACAAGCCCCCAATAAAATGATTTTTTAAAAATCATTTAGGCTGAGTTTTAAGAAACTAAAAATAATTATGCTTACCTGATTTGGGTATCATGAAAAATAATGCCGGGCATTACAAGATAAAAATAGAATATTGAATGTAATAATTTGAATTAATGAAAATTCAGAAAACAAAAACCAGTGAATAGAAATTATACCCAAACAACAAGAACATGAAATTAGAATTAGTTTTGTCCTGTCACAGATCTAAAGTTATGCTAAATGGAGACTTTGTCTACTCACAAACTAATCTTTGCTTATGGTTATTTGAAATGTCTTGATTTTAATAATAGTTTCAATAAATTATTCATTTACTTTTAAATTTGAATGTTTACAATTTCTTAGGGTGCTGATCAAAATTAAAACTACATAATAGCACTACCTAAATATTTAAATGGTACCATCATCTAAGGAAAACTACCCCATATCACTTAGTTTAAAATAAAATTCTATAAAACTGCATTCAGGGCAATGAAGGTACAAATGCGCTTTACACAACTGATGTGTGTATGGATTGTGATAAGAGTTGTATGAGCCCCTAATAAAATGATTAAAAGGATAAATAAATAAATAAATTGGAGAGAGAAAACTGCATTCAACATAGTTTGTTGATAGTAAGATACAGGTTATGATTTCAGTATTGATTCCTGCAGTTAACAGCTCATATTGTGGTACACATTTCTGTTAGGTGCGTTTTCGAGTTCAATGCTTTGACTCATTTCAACCCGGTAAGACGGAACAAAACTGTTGCATTGGGTTGTCTAGACTACATGTTAACAGTAGGTCCCTAGATCTTTCTCGCACCTTGCGGCTAGGTGAATTGCCATTTTTCAATAACAGTCATTAGCAGCCAAGCTTTTGGCACTCAGTTTTATCAACGTAAAGGATTAGAATAAGTTAACATAAAGGCATATGGAGAAATCTTTATGAAAGCAAAGATAGAAGAGGAGTTGCTTCTTTATTCAAGTATAGACCAATATGCTCAATCTTTAACATATCCCACTTCTGTCTTCTGTACAACCCAATCCCATCAATAATGTCTTCCAGTAAATAATGAGTACCTTCTATATATTTTTCTGGGGAGAAGGGGCTAGGAAATGGAGGGTAGATAACCAATCTTTAAATTTAAAGATGGAGTAAAACAATTACTTCTCCCTAGCTTTTACCAAGCATCTAAAATGGTGTTATTAATATGGGAATTTAACTATCAGTTCCAAGAACCCTTCACTCCTTTATAAGATGTTTGGGCATCTATCAGACATGATATGCTTATCCTTGCTCATGACAGCAGCAAAATACAGATGGGGATCCAAAATAATATTAATAGGTAAACTATGTCAGAAACCAAGTATCTTCCCTTCACAAACTGTAAGAATTTATCAAACAGCTGAAGAACACTTACCTCTGTTCCAATTCCAGGTTGCACACCAGAGTACACACTATCTGGTGGAGGACCACCATACTTCCTCTGTCCTGTGGTTACATCCAGAGTATAACCAGTCCTCTCAAGCAAGGCCTAGAGATAATTACATCTGATTATACTAAAATATTAAATTACAAGGGCATATAATCTTTCCCAAAAGATGTACCAACATCTTAGGCTAAGTATTTAATAGTCAGTGAAAAATGTTAGGATGAACACTCACATGTGTTCCTCCCACTTTATTTGCACTGCTCCTTTCCATGTTTTAAGTTATACATAAACCATTCTCCCAGGATATAACACTTTTTTGTTATGCGTTACAAACAGAAAACTAGGCAAGAATTATTAAAGTTCTACACATTTCCTATTTATACTCCTGTGCTGACTTACTTCATTTTGCACCCTTTGTACTTCAGTTCTGTGGGGGAGTTCTACTCTGTCCTATGTGGTCACCATGAGTTGGAAGTGACTCAAAGACAATGGGTTTGGTTCTGGTTCTATTTCAATTAGGAGTCCTGGTGGCACAATAGTTAAACACTCATTTGCTAACCTAATGGTGAACGGTAAACCTACCAGCAGCTCCACAGAAGACCTGAAATTCTGCTCCTGAAAAATATACAGCCTAATAAATCTCCGGTTGCTATAGGGTTATATAGCATATTTATGGGTTGAAATCAACTGGACAGTACCAACAACTTCAATTAGAGCTCTCTCCTTGCTTAGCCTCTTTAACAAGCCATACTTATTTCTACCAGTGATTCTTTTCAGATATTCACTACCCTTCAAAAACCAGTACAAAAGCCAAACTCCTTTGCACAGCTTTCACCATGTACTGTGCACCTATAAACACATCTCTTCCCACTAGTTCTATTGTGCTTGAAGTTTCTCAATTTAATCTTTGATCAAGCCTTGTTTCATACAACTACGCCCTAAGTTCTGGAAGAATAGAACCATTTCTCACATAGTACAGACTCAAAATCATTGGCAATTACCAAAAGGGTGTATATATGTATTTCAAAAGAACAAAAACTTTTCTGATTACCAACTTTCCTCATAACATTACAATTAAGTATTATAAATACAAAATTGTCAAAAAGATCATGTCTTGCACTCAGTGAGTTTCTATTATAATTGAAACAATATTTGTATTTCTGAAAGGTCTAAAGAAACAAAAGATAAAATCTGGCAGTAGAAAACAAAAAAGGTGTAATGTACCTAGAGAGGGAGGTATAATTTACAGCTGAAGTGTTCTAAATTGTATATCAGAGCCTCATTAAATTTTAGATTATCAACAGTTTTCAAAAGTGCATTTGGAAGACCCCTGGGATTCCACAGGTATACCTGAGGACCCTCTTCTTTGTTACCTTTGACACAAACAAAACTTCTATTTTTATAGCAAAATACATATATTATATAAGCATACAAAGTATATTATATATATAAAAAAAGTATATTATATATAGGCAATATATTATGATAAGCCACCAGAAACATGGTTTAGATTTTTTTTTTAGTTTTAGTTTTAGCAATGGAGACTTTCTTTCAAATGAATTCTCACACTGAAGGTCTACTATAGATATTTAAGAATTTTTGCATATGCTGCATATACATATAACCAAAAAGTAATTAATAGTTGGATAGTAATTACAATTAGACTTACTTGGTGATAGACTTTTTCATTTGAAATAGTTATTTAATGTCTCCAGCAAAGTGGTAAAGTGAATTATATGTTTCAGACAGAAATTATGATCTGTAGTTTCTAAGGTCTGATAGACTATATCCATTTTATAACCGAAAGAAACTGAGGATTACAAAGATAAACAAAAATTCAAAAGAAAGTTATAACTAATTATGTTTCTTTCCCCACCCCCGAAAAAAAGTCAAAAAGAAAACTGAACCAAAGCTTTCTGAAAAAGATTGGCAAAGGAGTGAAACTTTCACTATTTGCAGATGTTATTTTTTCCCCCAAAGCTTTTTGAAAAAGAGACATTACTGGATCAACAAGAAAGTTTATTCAAAGCATCAATAAAAATAATTATCAATAAATAAAAATAGGTTTTTCGTGAAACATCAATTTGATTATTTGCCTAAGATTGGAAGTGTTACACACTAACAACTATGAGATAGACATAAAAAGAACTAGTGGCACAGTGTTAGACTACAAAGCAAAAAGGCAGTAGTTCACCCACCAGGTGTCCAAGGGAGAAAGATGAGGTTTTCTGCTCCTGTAAAAATTTACAACCTTGGGAACTCAGTAGCTGTACTCTCTTATAAAGTTGCTATGAGTCAGAAACAACTCGA